GCCACTCAAGCCGAGACCAAGGAGGTCGTGAAGGAGGTTATTTTTTGCTTGTTCTTGTAATTTTAATTTGCCTGTAACTTTTAAAATAATGCGAAATTCGAGAAAAGAAAAGTTTCATTAAGGTACTACGTTCAGTGCACTCAGGTTAGGTGCAAATTAAAAACCAGTCAAAAAGTTGTTGCACGGCCCCTTTAAGAATGAAACATTGTCTGCAAATCGTAAAGATGCTATAAAAAAGTATTTGCATAATACGATAAATTTCTAGCGACACTTTTTCGCAGGAGGAGAAATAACTTTTTGTTATCTATTTTTTGCTACAGAAGAATCGAAATGAGAGGAGACGGCTAGGCCTACTCCTCAAGCTAACTGTGATGGTGGGCAATGTCAGAAGAACCATGCACAGAAAAATGGCTCAAATTTATGCCGTTCTGGGCTGCCGGGAGTTCTTCAAATGTGTATTAGACTAACTTCGCGATCATGACTGGCATTTATTATTTTTATTAATAAAAAATGAAGTTTCAGGGATCATAAAACGCCATAAAACTCAAAATCTCATTCTTTTACTTTTTTTACTTTCATCTTTCCAAAATATTTTCCTATTACAATGAAATTTAGCATTCATATGTTTTAGGATATATAGAATACAACTGTTAAGGTTTGCTTAGAATGTATATTTTTATATTTATAAAATCTTCATGAAACTTTAGCTATATCAAAACTAACACCAGATGAAAAATGAGCGAAAAATTCAATCGGCCGTTGTAAATAATAATAAAAAAGTATTATTTCCCCTTGGTGCATGTCCCCTAAGTGGGAAGTGGTACTGCCAAGTTTTTGATATGAGGGTTTCCTTTCCTTGATGAATGAGGGCCACCGGTGTTCAGGAACAGTTGATAAGAGAGGGAAGAAACTTTTTCGTGCACTTTTGTCAGTTTCGTTTCTGACTGAAGAAAGGCTAGTTTACATCTGAAAAATTAAAATTTCCAAATCAATACGACTGCCCTACTATGAGTTCTTTTAAGCTTGCCAAGTGTTTGGGAACAAAGATATTGTAGCTCTTAGAGGCTTCAAGCAAACCGTGAATATTACTTGGGTAAATTGGGACCTGAGGCAAACCAGGCATCTGTCTTGACGGATGTAAAAAAAAGTAATTTTTTCATAGCAATCTGGATTGGAGGTTTTCTTCTGAGTGTCGATCACAATACATCAGTGTGAGGGGGACACATTGCATACACACTTTAAGTTAGCCGTGAACTGACAACCGAACAAGGCCGTCATTTTGTCTTATTTAGGCACGACACGTCGGTGAAGTGAGCGGGAAGTTGTAGCGGTTTATCAGGCTCATTCTTTAATGCTGATGCGGCATTAATTTTATGGGAATACTTTTTAGTTGCTGGTTTTGAAGGGAAAGTTTGAGTAATGACCCTAGATACTGCTTCAATCGCCTACTAATAGAGCTTGTCGAGCCGCATTTCAACCCTTTCCTTACCACGTCAATAGTCCAACAATCATGCTTGATTACCGATTCGCGTTCGGCGCTAAAATTCATATTTGAGACGTGGGAACAGGTTGCGCCATCTCGTGGATGGCTGGAAAACTATGTTTTTGGTATCGATTTATTTTTAGGCTTTCTCTCAAGGTAGTGAGCTATCGGAAACAAATATTTGCACTGTGCCAGTGTCGCGTACTATTACAAAGACGACTACTACCACTACAAAGATGCATCATCTCCGAGGCTCGCAACATAGAGAGAGGCTCGTCGGCGAGCGTCGTTCTAGCTTTCCGTGTTGCCCCGAGGCGGGGCACTCTTTTGATGCACGCTGCAACACATAAAAACCTTACAAGGGGAGAAGCTACATGCAGGGCTACGACGAGGCAAGTGCAAAATAAGCCTGTTCTGCGGGATCACTGCCTGCAACCGCACCTCCGGATGGCACTGGTGCCACGAAAGCTAACTCGTTGACAGACGGAAGAAAGGCAGTATTGGATAGAGTGCTCCAACTTACAGAAGTGATAGTGGTGGGTAGGGGGGGCAGACTTTGTGATCTTTACTCCGTTCCGCCTTACGTCCAGCTGCATATGATGCCACAAGTTGTCGGAGCCAATCCAAAGCCGTACGAGGCTCCTGTGACATTGAAAAGAAAGTGCCTTGATTGGCTGCAAAAAAGTGTACCCACATGCTACGTTTACAGAGCTGGAGTGGCTGGGATGGCTCGTAGCGTCCGCTGCGGTCGGACGTAAGGTGGAACGGAATAAGGTAAAGTACGGTCATTGATGGGCTAGTTGGTGGATGTATAGGTGCAACCAAAAAAATACAAATGGGACAAGGACAAGAGGGTAGACAGTAGTGATGGACCGAATCTACCGAACTTTAGATTTGGCAAAGTTTGGACATGTCAAACTCTGCGCACGTGTGAGGACGCAACGAGGCCATGGATTACAAATGGACGCCGTGCACTTGCCATCCTGTGGTGTAATACTACCAGTGGTTACGGTGAGGTGCGGATTAGGCAACATGGTAACTGTGTATTTGCCAGCCTTTCTGAGTGTAGTTCTCTTCAGTATTTTCTGCCTTAGGAACAGAAGATACACCAGGAATTTACACAGTCCACTGCCCAAGTGACAAACGATGCGGTACATTCTGTATAACGTGATTTTCATTTGATGTTTCCAGTGATACAACGAGGTAGTTAAAACTTTGACTTACAAGTACTTTAAACCACACCTCTCAAGTATAGCAATCCTGTTTTTGGCTAACAAGTAGTTTGTGCTAAAAAAAATAATATTACTTTTTAATTGGTGTTTTTTCACAGTTTCCATCTATCCGCATAAATCTACAACATAGAACCATCATGCACGACATTGCACATCCGACATTCCCAACTCTTCCCATCTTCCCTAACGTTTGCATGTGTCATAACATCAGAAGAAGTTAAAAACGAGACGTTGCGAATATGGGATGCACACTTTCATGCAAAGCTGGCATCAAGTGACTCAAATTGAAAAACATGCATATTTACGAAAATACTGTTACTTCTTCTTGTGAAGGCTCAGCAGCTGTTGCATTCATTTGTGTTGCGCACAAAACGGTGACATGCAGAGAAAGTAAGAACACAGTGTTAGCTCCTTTATATTAACGATGTACACACTTGAAGGCTTGCAATGATGAGGCCTCAAAATCAAAACGCGTATCGTTACCGCTCCCACTACTACCCAATCTCGTTGCCACACCACTTCTGTAAAAAGTCACTGTAAAATTGCCAGTAAATGCACAAAAATGACACCGATACAATTATCTTGTAGAATATTACCTTATTTAGTAAAAGCGAAAAATGCAGTCTGAGTTGTGACCTTGAGAAATGCAAGTGTGACGTTTTGCATTGCTAAATGTTACAACTCAGACTGCGGTTTTTGGTCTAAACACGTTTCAGCATCGTCATTCGCTGAGCTGCCTCCGTAAGTTGCGGTGATTGGCTCTGTGAGTGTTGTGCGGGAAGGTAGACACACGGGCTTTTTTTAGAGTGTTGGATTCGCTGTTCAGTTTGAAGGTGGGGGACAAAAAATAAAGATTAATTTTTTTGTATCTTTTAAGTGACCAATATTCAGGATACAAAGGTGCGTTCGATGTCAGGTAACCTATTCTTCTGTTGTAACTGTAGGTGTCTTTGTGCGTGGAAGTTAGTGATGGCTGTAGTCGCCCTTAGATTTCTGGGTGTATATAAAGATTTGTGGAAGCAACAAAAGTAGCTGAGTTTCAAACGTCCCTCTTTCTGTGTCTTTTCCTTTGACTAAAAGTTTTGCTTTTCATAGAGCAGTCTCGGGCAGTAAAAGAAAGAATCAGTGTCCACTAGCCCTCCTGCACCCGAGTGTTACAAAGCGAGGACCACACAAAATAAACCCTAAGATAAGCATCCAAAAAGTTTCCGAGGTCCTGCTCTTCGAAACAACGAAAAAAAGGAATGCTATTCCTTTTTCCGTTTTAGTAAAAATGTAACGAGCTCCCGTTCAAGTTCCACCGATTAAAAATGGAATTGCGGCGTTCCTTTGTTCCTCCTAAAAGGAACGCGTTCCAGGAATGCCGTTCCTTGGAACGCCGTTCCGTACAGCACTGACCTCATAACGAATGCTATCGCAATTCATCGACAACCAACAATAATAGTTTCTGCAGCCAATCTGTTTCTGAAGAAGGTAAACTTGGCTAAGATTGGTTTCTGTGGTTGTACCCCAGACGGTGCTGCAATAACTTAGAAGTAAAAAAATAATGCATCATAAATAATTACTGTAAGCGACTTATTTTTTGCGGGCTCAATATTTCCCGATTTTGGGGCAAAGCTCCAGTTCTCGAATAATTTGCGGGTTCTAAGCTTCGCGATGGGGTAGGATCTCAATATAGATTCTAATCTGTTTACATTTTTCCGGAATTGTTTGCGGGACCTATTTTTCGCGTATTGTAGGCGATTCGAGAAATTCGCGAAAATTAGGTCCTCGCGAAAATTAAGTCGTTTACAGTATTTTAAAAGCAATTGGAAGAGTTGAGACATTCGTTCCAGGAAACCGTAGCCCTAAACACGCTTTGTGTAGGAGTGATTGACTGTGCGTCGACAGCTCGGAGTGCAGGGAGCGAAAGCTTGCGCTGTAGAACCTCCTGGGTTCATCCCCGTCCCTGCCCGTCTCAATCTGGATGAGCATTGTATATTGGCATTCAGTCATGTACCGCTACTGCAGTGCAGTACCACTCCTACCGAGGCAGGAGTAGTACTGCACTGGCTAAATTTCTCATCCAAAGCATAAGCCAGTGAGTGTTGCTGCACCTCAAAGGTTTAGCGTCTATATTTTTTTTGGTGCCAATGTTTATTTTGTTTGGCATTGTTGGATGGCAAGGATTTAAATAGTTTGTTGCCGGGCGATGCTTCACCCCAATTCGTTGGAGTGTATTGCGTTCTGTGGCTGACCCGTTGATGGTGATGATGGTGCTGATGATTTTTTCTTTTCCCGTACAGAAAATCAGGCACAAGTCCAGCAACTATGACTACGCGTTTAAAGACGCACGTCGACCGGACAACCGGAACCTAAATCGCTACAGGGATGTCAACCCATGTAAGTTGGGGGGCCATGTGGGAGGAAATATGACCTGTATCCTACATATGGATGTGAAGTTTGTTGAGACGTCTTGCATATGCTTATTTTGATCGAGCTCGATTCCGGCTTCACACCTACCATATTTCCTGGCTCCTGGTGTATAGACTACTCCACTTGGCTGAGAAGTTTGAAGAAAATGGAGCCGTGATGTTTGTGCAGTCCCGGCGCTACAGTCCACCAGAGCTGGCCAAATGATGAGAGTGGCCAGTCTATCGTGTGCTATTGGGATTGGGCGCGTGCCCTTTCCCTCCTTTGCCCTGCCGAATCCATAGAAATGCCCGTATGTATGTAGGCGGCGCTACAGCCGAACTAAGTGGTGCCTTTAGTGGAATGGTCTGTAAATCTGTATTAGGAAATTACACTTTAAAAAAAAAGGAAAGTTTTTGCTTGGATAGCTTGTACACAGTGCATAATCTGCACCTCGTGCCTATTTGTACATAAAAAAAAAAATTCATACACAGCACACCTTGACAAATGTTTGCTTTATACCTCACAAAGATGTTTGTACTAGACATAAATCAACATTAGCATACTCTGTGACTTACAAACTTCAACACGTCTCCTGACAATGAGCAGTTGCAAGAAAAAAAAAAAATCCTGGTATAGCTTGCACCTGTAGATAGCCTGCAACGTGTAAAATTTCAACTTTGAGACGTGCATAGTCTGCGGACTATGGTCAGGAAAATAGGTTAATTGAGAATCCGGTGCCTTAACCCGTTTGTCTTCAGCTAATACTTTTATTTCTTCCAGGTGCTAGAGCAGGCTATACATGCAGTAAGTACTGAAGAAGTACCTTAAAAATAGTGTTGACCGTGAAAAACATAGTACAGATTTATGGATATACTTTTCATGCAAAACGTATTGGGTTTTTTTTTTCTTGGAAAACTCGAAATAAGCCAGAATAGAACTCGATTGCTTTCCCCTTTCCTACGGTGACAGGTGAAGCTAAATGCCCCTTCCTGCAATCTGCGAAAAACATTGTGTTTGAAATTGTTCAGCCTTCATTAAAACATACCACTGCATATTTGTCAGAATGCTTCTTTTGTTTGTGAGCAATAAGGGCAGAGACAGAAGGAGCAACCTTCTGATATGAATGAAGTTTCAAAAGTTTTTTTTAATAACATGATGTTAATGCAAAGGTGCAGGCGAGCTGGAGATTCGTGTTGTCCTGTCCATCTATTTCCCCACTCTCCAGGGTTAAAAAATCTAATTGTAATCACAGTTACGAAGTATATTGTTAAAGTTTCTGAAAACCCAGGTCTTGGCTTTTCTCTCTGCCTGTTTGACTGATATCATTGCACTTGCTTTGAATGTCTTATTACTCTGTTTTTAAATAATTTATAATCTTAAGCGCAGGAAAATAAATTTTTCAATAGACGTCAGTAATATGTATGGAAATACGACGGTGGTATTGCAAATCAAGTACCTTCTTCTGAAGCACTTTGTGGGTTTAGAAGAAAGTTCGCTGGTGCTCCCGTTTAAGAGCTGTTCTGCCTTTCTTAAATTCCAGGGTTGCCTATCTTGCTGTTAGATTTTAATAAACTTTGCTAAAATTTAACGAGTCTTCGAATTACTGCTTGGTGCCGAATATCATTTAGGTGTATCAAAAAACAGGGAAGAGCAGAAAGCCTTTGAAGTTACACGTGCCTCTCAGGGAAGTTGCAGGGTTTTGAGCCTAGCAGACGACACAGATGATGAAGCAACCTGCATCACATCATCTGCTACAGCTGGTTCCTTAGACCTTTCTGGAAAATCTTAGGAGACCTCGCAGTGAGGGAAATTGTGGGGCTGTCCCGATGTACTCTCATGCTGATTCAAACGCTTCAAATATCCTGGAAGCAAACAATTCATTTTCTTATCATTAGGAGCTCAGAACGCAGAAAAAATAAAGCAAACACAAAAAGGGGTCGTCACATACTGTAAAACTCTTAAAGTTTGCGAGCCCCTAATTTGCGCAAATTTCACGACTGATAAAATTTGCTAACTTCAGTGGACGCGAATATTTTTATATTGTCTGTTGAGGCGAATTTTGGCCTTTGGATTCGCAAAATTGAGTGGTCACAAATATGACCGTTCTGCCCAATTCGCAAACGAAGGGTTTTGCAGTATACTCTCTTGATTTTCTTTTGCCTTCCCTGCATTCTCAAATCACAAAATGTTCGACCAACGTCAACTTCGTCTTCGATTCCTGGATAATCTCATGTGCCAGTATATCGGAACGTTGCAATGCATCATACAGACAATGGGGCCGCCACATATTTCTGGAAAGGTCTATTCAGGATGTTCCCAGCAATCTTTTCGGCAGCTGTGGAGGGCGCTGCACGTTTTGCAAAAGATCTATCGAGCGGCCGATGAAATCTCTCGAGTGCGGCGACAGCCTCTAATTCGGAAGAAGCTTTCGGCGAAACCCTATTGGGCAGACAACTGAACGTCGGGTCCGGTGCTGCCCTGGGAGTGAAAATGGGGGCCTTGTGCGTTTCAGACGACCACAGCCGGGTGGTCCTGCGGAGGGGTGACAAGGACTACATCAACGCCAGCCTGGTGGAGGTGAAGGCGGCCAAGCGCAGCTACATCCTCACCCAGGTGGGGACTTCCTTCCATGCTGCCCTCTGGATGAGTGGGAGGGGGGGCACCCTGCCCAGAACCAGCTCTATTGTGACAAATGACAGGTGACAAGGCAGGAATTACTGGGGAAATGAAAGGCTTCATGCAGCACACTCGTGCCAAAACAAAAGTATGGTAATGAGCGTCGCGAGTGTCAGTGTCATTGAGACAGAATGATTGCATGTTGACGTCAGACTGACCCGATGAAGAGCGCTGTGTCTGTTTTTGTACTTGCTCTACGGTCTGTTGCAGGTTAAGAATGCAGGTCAGGCTCCTTCTGCAAAGCCCTCCACTCTTTTTCCACTTTAGTGGAGCGAACGCTGGAGAGGAGGCGGAGGGATTAGCCTCCTTTCCAGTGTTTGCTTTATTGGATCGCAACTGTAGTCCGTTGCAACCTAAGAATGAAGGGTAAGGGTAAGACGGGCCGGGGAGGAGGAAGCAGACAAAACGCTAAAGAGAGAAGGAGATTTCCCCCTCTCCAGCGTTCCGTCTGCTTCCTCCTCCCCGACCCGTCTTACCCTCGCCCTTCGTTCTTAGGTTGCAACGGACTATAGAGTGGAAGGCCACTATGCTTGAGAACTGCAGGACATACGTCAAGGGACGTTAAAGTTGCTGAGGTTTCCCCAGTTCTTTCTACATCTGCAGTGTGGTGACGAGGGAAACGGTGTCCCACACCAAATGCAGGAATTCCTTTTCTGTACTGCTTTGTAATGGACAGAAAGGGAAAACTGACGTCAATGCCAGCAATTTGTCGCGTGACCACAGTGATCTGAAGGGTGCCATCTGCCGCAGGGTCCCCTCCAGTCAACGACCAGCCACTTCTGGCTTATGGTCTGGGAGCAGAAGACCAAGGCCATCCTCATGCTGAACCGCATCATTGAGAAGAACACGGTGAGCATGGGTGCACAATGGTTTTGCCCCGTTTTCTCGGGGTGTCCAGACTATGGTTGCCGACAGAGTGAGAAGGGCAGGGCGTGTCTTTCGAACCCTCAGCCTCCAGTACACGCTCGATGCCTCCCATTGTGCTTTTGCTGCGTGTGCGCACTCGAGGCGCAAGAGACGTTGAAGGGTTGTTTGAGGTAGGAAGCTCGCGCTGAAGGCGGGACATCTGAAGCCCCTCCCTGCCATTTTAATCCTGTCAATGACTGGTCTGACCCACTGTTCCCCAGCAGGGAAATCCTGGGAATTAGGCCGGAAAAGTCGGGCAATTGTCATAAAATTTTGTCAAAGCGTAGCAAGAAAGATTGCAAAAAAACGGCTTAGCAGCAATAGCGAGTGCACATTATTACTTCTGTACAGCTTAGTGTCTTTACGAAGTAATTCTACCTGAATGCAAAGAAAGAGGAGATGGTTATGCGTCGTGGTTTTAGTGCTGCATCTAGGCCAACCGAAGTAATGGAGGGTGTACGTCCGTTTTATACGTTTTTTTGTGGGCAGCGCCGTGTTGAATACCGTAGTGCGTCTGGTTCTAAAGCCTCTTCAAAATGCAACTTTTTTTTTTTTTTGCGTTAGTTTGGTAAAAGATGAAGTCATCTACAATTTGTATGCTGGGAGTATTCACTTGTGCACTGTAATTATCACAATAATAAATGTGCTGCTGCTGCTGATTTTATGAAGCTTGGTAAAGTCCAGGACATGTACAAAAACAAATGGGTGCAGGACTGCCCCTGATTTTTTTAAAGATGCCACAATTGGGATAGAGAACTAGTAAGTTTATCTCAAGGGACGAAACTGGGACAACAATTGTGCCAGTAATTGTTCTCCAAGGAAGTGGGACAAGGAATTTTTCTGAGATGGTCCATTAAAGTCTGAAAAAAAGGTGTAAATTTAAAACATTAGTAAGTTAAGAATGAGCGCCTTCACCGTGCTTTGCCCAGGAGTATGGCAGTGCTTCACCCCATCCTGGGGTGAAGCGCTGCCTGACTCAGAATTCGATAGCCTGTGGCAAATGCAAAAACATATTTAAAAAAAAGAAAAAAGTTACTAGCAAGACAATGAGGCTGAGCCAAAGCCCATTCAGCTCCGATAAGCGGCGTCGGGAGGGTCCTCGCTTTGGGTTGGTCCGGGCTTCCGCCAGATGGCGTCACTGAAACTTCTCGCCGTGAATAGACTCCCGAGCTGATTACTTTGCGGAAGGAAATGTTTCCCTGGTGTTGTTGCCTGTCGATTCCCTATGGCTGTGGAATCATAGAGTGGTGTAATGAAAAGTTGCAGGCCGTAGATCGTGGTTTCAGGGGTAACAAGTTGATTTCTCATTAGGCCATCTTTGCTGCATGTTTCCCCAAGCAAAAGCCAAAGCAGGGGAAGGCTAACCGATCGGGCCTCGTGTTTGTGTCGCTGCAGCCAGGCCAAACTGACCCTACTTATTTTATACTCCTGACCGCCTTGTCTGAGGAAGGAGTGGTACGGCGACCAGACAATGTATGTACATCTGGCAGAACAGCGCAAGGATCAAAGTTCTTTACTTGGTACAAAACCAAGAAGACACTGCTATCCATCGCCCCTAACATGTACACTCTGCGACACAGTTAGTGCAAACTTAGGCACTTTTTTGCATTTTACCATGAAAGGGTACTGCCGGCCACCAAGCTTTACCACTTAGGTTACCAGGTTTATTCGGATATAAGTTGAGCACGAATGTACCTCAAGAGACGGCGGAAGCGCCTACTTTGTACAAGCACCCACTATTAACATTTCTCATACGGTAGGCTCGCGATAATTCAAACTCGGATATTTCGTACTTCCGGTTAATTCAAACATATCTGAAAATTTTGGTTGTCCCGCTATGTTTTTAGTGTATTTATAAGCCGCTTAATTCGAACGGCGTTTTCGCTTAATTCATACTTTTTTGTTCTCGTTGCCCCGTTGAGGGCGCTTCTTTCCGAGCACCGGTGCACCGCAGAGAAGCAACACCGGGAACAATAAAAAAAACGGATGAACACAACAAAATCTCAAGATTTTGTTGTGTTCGTCCGTTTTTGTATTGTTCCCGGTGTTGCTTCTCCGCAGTGCACCGGTGCTCAGAAAGAAGCGCACTCAGCGGGGCTGAAGCAGGCACACATTAGTGGAAAACGGCCTTCACATTATGTGCTTCAAGACTAGCAATGATGACCAAGACGACATCGAGGATGAGGAACAGCTCACTGGCATCATGCTTTCTGGCCTTGAAGCACATAATGTGAACGCCGAGCTGGCGAATTATGCTAGTCTTGACGACGATGTGTGTGTTTGTCGTGATGACTCATTAGAGGACATAAGGAAGTAATGCCAGCACAGTGCAGCAGTGAAAGTGAAGATGATGATGAAGAAAGAGATGGTTCACTACCAACTGTCACAGCCGCAAAGGCCTTTGAGCACATCGCTCAGCTCCGGAAGTTTCTGTCTGCAAAGGAAGGGTCCCGTAAAGAGCTACTTGCGTTGGCTGGTATTGAAAATTTTGTTTTGAGATCTCATGTACTAACTAAACAGTACACAATCGACAACTTTTTTGCCGGATGAATGAACTTAACGTCACAGTTCTTTCACCAATGTGTTATGCCTGTACTTGCTTATAATTAGGCCTATGTAGAGGAAACTGGCAAAAATCTGCTTTGTATGTGTAGCTATCCATGTAACAAATCATAATGTTGTCTAATATCATATTTAGATGAATTTCTGATAATTCAAACTTCTCGTAATTCAAACTAAAATCTGTGACTTCCTGGAGTTTGAATTAATGAGAGTCTACTGTACTTTGGAATTCTGCAAATTTTACATTAGGCACCCGCTCCCTCCAAAGTGCCGGCATCGGCCAAATATATTTTAACCCTTGTGGCGGCCACAAATCCGCCAGCAGCGGTGACGGTGATATTGCGTGAAAGTAAATGGGCTTTCTCCGATTCCATTCACCCCGCCTTCAAAGCTCTATGTTGGCCGCCATCTCGGTTCTTGGTGAATTGACCCAGTGAGCGCTCGTGTCCAGATTAACCCAGCTTTCAGCGGAAATGGGGTGGGCGTTTCCCCAGTGTTTTACGGTAAGTCGACCCCCCCCTCCCCCCATATGTCAAACTTTCCAAGAACGAAGAGAAAATATTTGAATATAGGTCCACCTAAATTTTGAAGAGAAAAATTGAGGAAACTTACCAAGAGACACGCCTTTTTTGGACCGCTCAATTAATTAGATCTTTTTTTTTTTTTTGCAATCCCCGTCGAGACCGAAGGACTCGTCGGTGACCGTATCTACCATAATTTGTGCGCTGACCGTTCTGCACGGCCATCTTGTTTTGTCTTCGAGCTCGTCCGGAAATCTCAATGGAACAGCGGGAGCATACGGTTGTCGCACACTGCTCCTGCATCGTACGAAATGCTAGGTGTTTGCCGCAGACACGACGACAGAATGCTCCTTGGACACGCCTCGAGCGTTTTCGAAGCACGTTTGCTCGACACACGTGTACGCTTCGAACGCAACTTCAGACTGTTTTATTATGGTCGACGTTGCAGAACCGTCGCACGAGGACGCTCCTCAGACAGCGTCTGCAGAATGGTCTCTAGCAGGAAGTGTTGGCAGCACGGCCGCGGCTTTACGGTGCGTGCGGTGCGTCTGCGCAGGTAAAGTGCCACCAGTACTGGCCGGTCGGAGACGAGGAGCTGGTGCTGCCCTCCGTGGGCCTCAAGGTCACTTTCCTCTCAGAGAAGCCCGCCACCAACTACACGGTCCGAGAGCTGCTCCTCACGGACCTCCAGGTACGTCGGAGTCGTCGAACGCGTGCACAAACGCATCCGGTGCTGTTGGCAAAGTTCACAACCGAAAGCGTTGCCGTGGTCGGCATTTCACGACCGGTCAGATGCGCACCACGATGCCTTTGGTTGGATCCATTTTGCTTTCGTCGACGGACGCAAGGGTGACGTCGGTGTTAGCTCGAAGGGGAGCTTCGGGGAAATTTTGATAATTGTAGATTTGGCCCAAAACTGGGTCGACTCGTCAATGGACACGTCTGAACTGAAAGCCGAAATTGGAAGTCGTAATAATGTTTTCCGCAAAGTTATTGAAGCTTCAAATTCGGTCCGAGAGGCCAAGAGGCTGTAGTAGCGACGCTGAAAACGTGAGGTCAGGTGTTGTAATACGGAGCAATATGGTGGCATTGCCGCTAGTTCCCGACGAGTTACGGGAAGTTGGACGGTGCGAATTGAATGCCGGTTAGGCTTGTGCCAGCGAAACGAAAACGCGTGCACAAACGACTGTGTTTGTGATTCTGCCCTCTTGACTCGTGAGTTTTACGACGTCCAACGTTACTCCATTGGAGAGAGCGTAAAAATTTTATTTTATTTTTGAAAATATTAGGTCGCATTTGATTGTTTGTCATGACGCTCACCCACCTTGCTCGTGGTCGCTATGCAAGAAAACAACAAGAACAGAAAAACTGAAAATACTGCATATTTATTTTATTGATTTTTTTTTAGTTCTTTCAGTTGCTTTTTATTGGGCATCGACCGATGTGACAGACGCTTGCATTGGACTGTGGCTCGTGTATTATGAAATGCTGGAACACCGCTTTCATGGTCGCACCTTGCGAGCATTGAAGACGATTTTAGATTGGGGCGGAATAGCAGATGGACGAAGGCGATAACGGACGCCAACGCACCACTTTCATGGCTGTTCCTTGTAGGCATTGCAGACGACTATTGGGCATTGGGCAGGAGATCGAACTATAGATGCCGTATTATCGAGCTTGTTTCCCACGCATCCCGGTGTTTACTAACATAGCATAACAAAGGATGTGAACCTCGCCTAGCAGGGTCTGGGCACGAGTGCTTCGCTCTGACCAGTGCTTTAGTCGCACGAGGAGCGGCCTTCGAATCGTCACCTTCGATTTCTCAGATCAAAAACAAACAAGAGAAGATGGTTTGTTGTCCCCACAGCTGAAGAGCACCGCCCGAGGCGTGTCTGTTCGATTTCCTTCCCAATAGGTGGTGGTAGAATAGAAGACGATGCCGGAGGCTGCCACACGTCTGTTTGCATGGCTGGCAGAGAGTGTCAGATGCCAGACAACGTTATTAGATTAGCTCACCACGGCTTGCCTCCTGCCGTTCGATGCGCCGGACGGTTGCTATGGTAACTGCAGTGTGTTCGATAGAATACATATGTTGCGAAGCAAAGTGTCTAGGCGCGTTCGACCATAATCTATATGGCGCTTTAAATGACGGGAGGCGGACTGAAGTCAGTGAGGGGGTCTGCAGGAATTTTAGAGCTGAGGTAATCTATAGTCGGTTAAAGGTTAAGGAAAGGTTTTGGAGGGAAAGGAAGGCTGAGGAAGAGGAAGCAGACGGAACGCTGGAGAGACGAGGTTTCCTTCTGTCTTCTCCAGCATTCCTTTTGTTTCCTCTCCAGCCCTCCTTTCCCTCGAATACTCTTCTTATGGTGTAACTGACCATAGTAACGCTAGACTAGACAGACCAGACGTTGCAATGGGAAAACTCTGGGCGAGCATTTTCGGCCGATCAGCCAAGCCAACCTAGTTGCTATAGGTGGAGCCATTGATCTGTGGGCAAGTCTTAGAGCAGGCCGTGACTTCCACCTAAATTAAGTCTAACAACATAAATATTGTAAAAAAAAAAAAAAAAAAAAAAAAATTTACTTTTGTTTTGTGAAAAAATTTTAAGGAAGAAATATATCTTACCAAAATTCTTTAAAAATATTTTTTTTTTTTCCTTTTAAGAGAAATTGAGTGGGTGACTCCTGAAGCGTGTTTGGAACTTGCCTAAAGGAGTCTGGGGTCCCGTGTTGCAGGGCGGGGAATCGCGGGTGGTGCAGCAGCTGCACTACACGACGTGGCCGGACTTTGGGGTGCCGGAGTCCCCCGCCTCGTTCCTGGCGTTCCTGCGGGATGTGCGTGCCACGGGGGCCCTGGACGGGGCCGGACCCCCCGTGGTGCACTGCAGTGCGGGCATCGGCCGCTCGGGCACCTTCTGCCTCGTCGACTCCTGCCTCGTGCTGGTGGGTGCCCCCCGGCCTCTTCGCACAATGCCACCTAGAAGATGAGGCCTTTCCCCCCCAAACGCCATCACTATGGCCCGTTGCAACTCAAGAAAGTAGGGGGAGGGAAAGGAAGACGGGGGAGGAAGAAGCAGATGGAACGCTGGAGAGAGCAGGAGGTTTCCCACTCTCCTCTTCCGCGTTCCGTCTGCTTTTTCCTCCCCTGCCCTCCTTTCCCTTGCACTACCTTCTTGAGCTGTAAAACTTATTATAGCAGGTCCTCGCAGTGTCGCCTAGCCTGCGTCGACTTGGCTGCCACAGCGTCTTGCAGCCTTTCGCGACGAGCGCGACGCCAAGACGCATGCGCCTGCTGCTTCGCGGCGCTCTCCCGTCAAGCTTCGTTTCTGCTGCTCGGGCGATAGTACCTAGAAGCTCGAACTGGGAAGCTGTCGGATGTGCCGGCGTTTTCTTGCGAAAACTGCTCTTTAAACGCGTCCTTCTGGGAGTCGGTTAGGGAACTAGGACGAAATGGTCCGGGAATCCGAAGATGTCATTTGTGCCCGTGCGCAGATCGAGGCCGCGGGGGGCCGCTTGGACGCGGTGGACGTGCCCTCGGTGCTGCTGGAGATGCGGCGCTTCCGCATGGGGCTCATCCAGACCCCGGACCAGCTGCGCTTCTCCTACCTGGCCATCCTGGAGGGGGCCAGGGCGCTCGCACGCTCGGTGAGTACCCGGTTGTAGACGGTTCTAACCAAACGATGCTGACAAATGCCCGAGAAGGCTGGCAAAGGTTAGACGTAACACAATGCCGACGACTGCAAGAAGGTAAAAAACGAAAGCTACCGGGGTATGTGTCTGTCTTTGCTCTTACCTGCACTCTTGGGGTTGCGTTACGTCCGATGAACATTCGTTGGTGCCAAAAACACGAAATGGGTTAAAACTGATGAACACAGTTTTCTGAAAATTTTTTCTAGAATTGTTGAAACGCTCCTCTCTTTTATTCAAATTCCTAGTTATTTTATGAGAGTTTTGCACTGTTGGTCGCTGTTTTTAGCATTAGCCTGAAATATATAGCTGAAGTACACCAAGATATGAAAGATAAACGCCCCCCCCAAAAAAAGAGGACCGATTTTCTCAAATAAACACCAGGAAATTTGAGGCCTACTCGCGACTGTTTACGATAAGATAACGCGCTGGTGGCATCTTTCGGGTAGCTGTGGCCGACTTCCAGTTTGTGCACATTTCCCAATTTTCCGAGCATAATTTTTTCGCCTTGGGCTCTAAAAAACTGGCAATGTTAAAAGTAGGGTTCCATATTTTCAGGTAAGTCTGAAAAAGTCCGAAAGACACCCGCCGGTAATGTTTTGGTTAATTTAGATTTATCCAATAAACTAAATTTTGACATGCCAACTGCCCCTCTCCCCCCCAAAAAAAAAAGACAAAAAAAAAAAAAAGACGGTATTTTACAATTAAGTTTGATCAGCGCAGTATCTTTTAAATCTTGGACCATAGTCAAAAGAGGTCTACCGCTTATCTCGTCGAGGTTCATTCAGGACAACAACAAAAGCCAATGTATTGGTTTCCTGTTTGGGCCATACAATGTTTGCTTTAGAGGAAGGAGAGGTTATGTTTTTGTCACAGTGATAGCTATGGACCACAGAGTTTGCATAAAATAGGGAAGAGAGACGGTTGAGACTTCTCTATTACATCCTTTACCACTCCACCTCCTTGCGCGGCCGGGGGATAGGTTGATGGAATAGCATGGGACGAATGTGAGCGTCCCAGCGGCTATCTCCGAGAGTTTATTGATTTTAAGGTATCGACATTTGTCGAAACAACACTCGTCTGTAACTTCTGTCATGGGACAAATTAGTATTGCCAATGGCAATGGCACCAATACCAAATCCAGCTAAGGAAATATGAATGAATACAAGCACATTTAATTTTTTTATAGCATATGTTTACACCTGGATATTATTTGTTTATTTATATCTATTTTTAATTGGAAACACTGCAAAATTAAATTCCAAATTTCGGAGAATTGGGAATCAAAATAAACTTCGATAAACTCAGAATTTCGGCAAAATGTAAACTCCGAAAAACATTCTTCGCATTTGACAAAAATTAAAACTTAGAAAACACGGAATCCTAATTAAAGGCAACAATTTCTCTGAGGTAGCGTGCAGTTTGGTTTTGCAACTACTGCAAAACGCACAGTCTGATTCGGAACCGGAAATGTTCAAATGCTATTTGCACGTCGGCGGCACCTTGTTTCAACACTGCGCCACCTTCTCGTGATACTCAAAGAATCGCGGTGCAGTCGGTAGCAGTCGACCACGCGAGCATGTGAACTTGGAATTTCCTTTAAATATTGGGTTGAATATTACCGCGTCGTTAATCCTAGAGGACGGATTCGCTATTGACTTTGTCTCCAATTTGAAAGTGGCAGCTTGCGCAAAAAGGGGGTTGCCGGAGGCTCGCGGACTTCCAAGACGTCAAGCAGGTATTTGGGAGGGGCGGGGGTGGCAACGTCGGGTGGCTGACGCGAAGCAGATTTGCTTTTGAGCTTTTTTTTTTTTATCACTATATGAGATGCCGGAACCCGGAGGGGGGGAGTGTAGTGTGGTGTGGTGTGCCAGAGCCGCATCCGAAGTATTCTTACGATGGGCTCAGCCCCCTATAGGAAGGCTCGGAAGGCAGACGTCAGGTGGTGGTCAAGCCATGCGCTCGTCACACGACGTAGTGAAAGGAAAAGAGGTTGCAAGGGTAGTAAACTAAAGTCGGATTGTAATGTCTGCAAACATCTTTGTCTTTGTTTTCTTTGTTTTTAAAATCTTTGTTTTTACAGAAACTAATAAAAAAAAAAACGACAAAAAGGAACTTAGTTTTTGCCCCCCACCCAACGTATACTTCCGACGTCACTGTCGCCTTACTTCATTTCACTTTAGTCCGACCGCTGCCACCACTGTGATCTGACAAAGCCTATCGAGCAGTGAAAAGTTTGTCGTTACGGCTCCCGTTGCCCGACTAAACCGACTGGGCACTGTCGGTGCGCCGCGATCCTGCTCTTTTTTCTCGGTGCGATGGTTTTAGCCGATAGCGGCACACCCACAAAGACGACGAGCCCCACGATGACGCACTTTGGGTGCCGCCTACGATGGAAGGGAGCGTATTTGTTTGAATCTAGGCCGGCCCCGATTTTAAGCCGACCCTAAAAAGTCAGAAGCCAGGAAAAAAAAAAAAAAAAATCTTGCCTCGAATGTAGGTTGCACGAAAAGGAGAGGACAGCGTTCACAAAAAGAAGACATTTATTGAATATGAAGATGCCGTGCTCATTCTGAGTCATCATCGCTGCTAGCTGCGTCCGAACAAAGTCGGCCAATGCCATCTCCATTTTGTGGTGATGGCCTTTTCGTGGTCCGGTGAATGGCATCCTTGTTGCGGCGCACGCAAATATCCCCTCCCGTTGCCTCCGCCGACGGACATTTCTTTCATCCACGCTGAAGTCCCGCTCGGCTTCAACGTTCGCCGACAACTTCGCGGCTAAAACTTTTCTTTTAAAAACAGAACTATAATGGCACCGCCTGTTTGGTGCCATTGGGCTGTTGATAAAAAGAAAACGCCACGCCACATGCAGGCCACTATCAACGCAGGTCAAAATGACGGCACCACCCGTGTACTTAAGTGGCTACTGAATCGGGTAAAAATGGCTACAATACTTTCTTTTCTAGGTGGCGCTAGCTGCGCGCCACTTTCTTCAATTTTACTTGGAAATTGGCGCGTGTTTCAAAATCCTCGAATCTAGGCTGACCCTAGAGTTTCGTGTATCGGTATTTAAAAAAATCTGTCGGCCTAGATTCGAATAAATACGGTAGATTGCTGTCGTTGCCCGGCACGAGGGATCAGTCTGACGCGATCCGATCCATGAGCCGTCTTCCCGCACGTCGCAGGACCGCCCAGAGGCGGGGGCTCGCCCGGCCGCCCCCAGACTGGCGGAGCAGAACGGACTTGGAGAGGACGCGAGCTCCACGTCGGAGGCGTCAGACTCCTCGGACGACGAGGACGAGGGGGACGAGGACAGGGACCCCCCTGAGGTCCCCCCGGCCCCGCCGCTGCCGCCCCGCCTCCTCAAGCGCCCCTCCGTGGAGACACCCCCCTGCAAGAGGTACCGCCAATCTTCCGTTGTCTGGGCACGGCGTAGAGAGCCCTGGTTTGAGGGCGGGAGCAGCTAGAACCACGGAGAGTGTTTCCTTAAATGGTCGCTAAAGTGGCTTTCGAGATCATCTTCTTACCATCTGAACTCCAATCCATGTGCTCCGAGCGTCTGAAAGAATGCGAGATTACGACCCTTTGCAAGCGATAAAAACGCGATTGAACACCTCGACTCACCCTTTTGAAACGTGTGTTTTGGAAAATGGCGTGTTGCTACGTTTGCTCTTGTTTTTAACAAAGAAGGCCGGACATAATTGTATATTTGGGTCTTCCGTGACGCTTTAAGCACGTGGATCAAGTTTAGGATTTGAAAACACCGACTCAAAATCCACTTTAATGCCTCTAACTGCGGGGGAACACCTCTCGCACTGATCTATCGCACGTGATGCATTGTCGCGTGGCGAAAAGGGAAGCCGGCTGAGATCCTCGCGGACGATCGAAGCTTTCGTCGCCTCCTCGCAGCTCGTATTGCAAATGTGGTCGAGCGTTTGGAAACACCGTAATCTTTGCGCAGTAGCATGGCGCATAGATCGCATCTTCAACCGGTGCGTTTGGCGTTTCGTATCACCCGTGCGCCGAAAGTAGTCCCAGCACGGCCACAAATTGCGTCGCGGGAGCCCACATGCTCGGTTATAGGTAGGGTTCGGAGTTTTCGGTTTAAACCGATAAAAGTACGCCCAATCCATTTTCGGTTTTTTCGGTTTTAACCAAAAAAAGTCAGTTTGTAGGTTTGGTGTTTTCGGTTTAAACCGATAAAAGTATGTCTAATCCGTTTTCTAAAATTCGGTTTAAACGAAAAAGGTCAGATTCTGAGGGCCGCGTCGAGGTGGGTGGGGGAGGGGGGGGAGGGGGTGGGGGGGAGAGAGAGAGAGAGAGGGCTTTGGCAAGGTTCGACATAGTGTGACGTCTTCGTGATTGCCCTCTTCCGAGGTTCAACACGCAACAAAAGAGGTCTCGGATTGGCCTTCGCGGGACATTTGTGTCCTTTTTTGTAGTTGGGCTTAGTGTGTCAAGTTCCCGGTCCTAAAAAAAAAAAAATTTCGGATGTGAGCTAGTATAAAGTTTTTCGTTTCAAGCACTTCAGAGGTCATCGAGGAAAGCCGTTAATACCTTTTGTAACACGTTTTCTCAAACTTCCTTGTGGTTAAAAACATAAATACAATGAATTTTTTTTTTGCCATTCCGCTGGTCACTGTACGGTCATGACCTCAGACGGTCACGTCGTCAGGAAAAAGAAGCGCGCTGAAGTTTATGCCCGCGAACTCCGCGATTTTGAGGTGTGTCCTGACAGAAGTTGTAGCGAAGACGACGCATGTATATGTGTTGTTATTCTCCGAGTGATCACAAATATCACAGCTACAGAGATCATCTGATCCGGTGTCCAATTGTGTTTCTTTCATATTGACCGAAAAAAACCGGTAGACTTTTTGGGGAATAAATATACACCGAAAAAAACCGAAAATTTAATTTTAAAATAAACACCGAAAAAAGTATGCCGAACTTTGAAAAAATAAAAACCGAGAACGCGGAACCCTAGTTATAGGTATCCCGGCGAAACGCACGAGCGAACGTCGGCGTTGCCATCATGGCTGCGTCCAACTCCTGACCGCTCGAGCTTCCGCATTCCCGTCGGGCCGGAAGGCAACCCGCAGCAGAACAAGCGCATGTCAAGGGACCGCGTTTGGAGGCGCCTTGAAGGTGCCGGTTGAAGGTGCACTTCGGGCACTGTGGTACAGGCCACCCGCGTGCTATGAACGTCCCCCAGTACGTATAGGGTGTGGGGCGTACTCGTGCGACTTCCTGGATCACGACGTCCGACGGCACGACGTGCCGGCCCCCACTACGCCGTTGGTCGTCACTTTTGGAACTGCTTTTGGCGCGTGGGCAGCACAGGTTGCCAAGCGTGCCGCTCGTTGACTTGTTGCGGTCCTCGTGGCGGTGACGTTGTACCCGGTTGAGTGACGGGTGCAACGTGCGGCCGAAGCTCAACCAACAGAAGGCAGTGGGAGCGTGCCGAAGTTGACTCCTTGGTGTCTTCATCCCGTGAGCGACTGTAGCGATGAGGGGATCGGTGGATTGCTGCACTGCCGTACCGCAACTCGAAGCGTGTGGTGCAAAGGCTTGTTTTGTGAAACTTGAGGAGTCCGGGGTCCAACTTGGTTCAAGGTGAGAGCGTCATCGGCTGTTGGTTGGACGTGGCGCAACAGCTTGGGGACTTGTTTGCGAGCTCGAAATCGGGCAAACTTGTGGTGTCCGACGTCTCGCCAACTCCCAAATGGCGAGAAAGGTCTCGCGGCCTTCGATTGCTCGTCCTTGGCACTCTTCCGTCCGCCGGTCAATGTCGGCTCGCATACAGCAGCGGAACAACTTGAGATTTGAGATTGAAGTACAGGTTGTCGGCGGCTTCCGACGTGAAATGGCGGGTGATCGCAATGTCAGCCTGCATCCTATCTTTTAGCCAAAAAAAATAGTGTCGGAGGCGAGCGCTACCGCATGGCGTTTGGCTACAATACAATGGCAGACTGGCTGCAGTGTGGGAGAGTGAGCCACCTGACATGCATCTTAGTACAGGAAGCGTTGCGCCAGCGCGCCGATAAAACCAACCGCCACAACCCCATGCCACTACGGGCCCCGTGCCGGTTAAAACGGACACGTTGCGCGCGCTCGGAGGCTTCTGCTCGTCTCGCCGCCAGTGAACATGCTGTTGCCTCCATCATCCACATCGTCGGCGGTGCTTCTACTCGTTTCGCCGACGACGAACATGGCGCTGCTTCTGGCATCCAGATCGTTGCCGGTGCTTCTGACACAACTCAAAAACATTACTCGTGCCACAAAACTTCTCGGATCACTTTGTGGTGTTCCATTGGACATTCATGCTTTTGCATTCACAACTCATAAGAAGTGCTTAGGTGCCTTCTGACTTTTTAGCCAGAAAAACGGGATAGGTGATCTCTCGGGGGAGGGTGCCCTTACGGGATCTTACGGTAGTCGTCTAGTCTTTGCAGCACTATGACACACAAATCAAATTAACTTGGTGCAAACCAGTGCAATGCTGGGCATCGTAAATTTGCCGGCATGACATTTTTAACCCTAGAGAGTGGGGAAAAAGAGGGACAGGGCAAGATGAATTTTTGGAAATTCATGTTGTCCTGTCTTTCTGTTTACCCCCTCCCAAGGGTTAAAATGTCAGTCCTTAACCAGATCGCCTGCATTTCCGCATTAATTGCCCGCATGTTTTTTTGTATTTATTAATTTTACGTCCTAGAGGCACGTGGACATCAGATGAGGGTGTAACATAGTACACTCTTAAAAAACAAGAGGTGTAGTCTTACACCCCTTGTCCTATATAATACACCCCAAAACTTAAGTTCGACATACAAGCGCGAGACACATGCGCGAAAAATCCATCTGATCCGACGTCCGATCCGGCAATACGACTGCCTGATCCAAAAAATTTGGTCGCATCAGACGTCAGATCGGCGATCCGACGTGCGTCCAACGCGCCAGATAGTTTTGCACGGCGGACGGATTGTCGGATGCGTCCAGCCAATCAGAGCGCAGCTAGCGCGAACGTCATGATGACGTACTGGGTCTGGCGGGATGAATAAGGAAACGGGACGGGCGACAAGAAGCCGGACGCGTGAATCCCGCTGACCCATTCGAAATAGAAGGCCCCGGCAGAGAATGCACGTGCTAGCGAGAACGGGCTCCCAACTTCGCTTGTGCAAGCTAAATTGTCAATCTGGGACCAGAGATCTATGAACGCGAACCTCCGCTGGAGTGCTTGGATCTTTTGGGCGGAGCCGAACGGATCGTCATGTCGCATGCAAGGTCGGAAGCGTGTGTCTCAAACTGTTGCGTGTGGCAATTCGGAGCGGCGTTCGGACTGTCGGATCGGACGTCGGATCGGACGATTCTGCCGTCCATGTGTCTCGCGCTTCAGTGCATTGACGTCGAACCAAGGGTACCCACTTTAACGAGCGGTTTGATAGCCGAGTGGTAAAACTTATTAAAATAGCTTGAGTATGTGTAGCCAACTACAACAACAATAATAGTTTTTTTTTAAAACCCTATTGCACAACTTTCGTTTTTTTCTGTAGTCATTGATACATACTTTAGCTGTTTGATAAGCCTCTCGTAACAGTTGGGGCCATCACTTCGACGTCAGTGCGCTTTTGGGGTGTATTATATGGGACAAAGTGTCCTCTTATAAGTACCTCGGTGTTCAGATTTCAAATGATCTGTCCTGGAATATCACTCTAACCCTACTGACTGCCAAGCGCTATTTTCTGAACCGTTTTTTATACCATCGTGCACCGATCATCAACTGAAAGTTGGGTTCCCCCATTCCAGCACATCCACCTTTAATGCTTCTTTTTTTGCCTCAAACCTCAATTGACTGTGGCCGCCTTCCTGCAGGCATTACCAAAATCGCTGCCTTTGATAATTTTAAAATTGCCATTACCAACCTCTTAAATGATGTTTCGTAGTAATTTTATGTCTTTTTTTTTGCCTTTTTATTGTTATTTGATTTATTTCTGTGTACTGTTCCCCACTCCTCTCTGTAATGCCTTCAAGCACTGACAGGTATAATAAATAAAATGAAATTAAAGGGTATAAGACTACCGTATTTACTCGAAAATAGGTCGACCACGAAAATAGGTCCACCACGAAAATAGGTCCACCCCTATTTATTGAACCCACCAAGAACGAAAAAAAAATTTGAATATAGGTCGACCTTTTTTTTTCTTGGAACAGGGGAAAGTTTGGGCAAAAGAAAAAAAAAAAACCTTTATTTACAGCACTTTAAGCTACATCACAGGGCGATGCAAAGAACTTAATCATCTGTCAGAACTTCCGTCCAAAGCTTCTTCAGCTTGGTAGGCATCCTCGCAGATTCCCAATACCTCACTCACACCCTTGTAAAATGACCACAAGAAGAAACGAAAGAAG